TGGCTCTAGATAAGCCCTTCAACATTTTTCGCAGCCACTGTATTGTCTCCTATGCTTGGAAGGCTTAGCTGTATTCAAATGGTTGCAATCTGCAACTTCACTGCTATGCCACTAAATCCTTCACACTGGCCCTTTAAGGAGCACTCAATATAAAGTAACATGATTACAAATAATCTTACATTAGGAAAACAATCACACTGTGCCTAATGGACTGTACTGAATCTAGGAAAAGTAGTAGTGACTGCTCACAATTTCACACAGATGTGGTGGAAAATTTTTTAAAAGAAAAATTTAAAAAAGATGTTGCACCTCACCAACATTTGTACGCAGTTTCCATGTTCTATTAGGGAAGCTGGCGACAAGCACCAAACTATGGGTGGGAAAATAGCACACACATATCGTATGTGCACACACCTGTACACATGCACACACGTACACACTCCCATCAACTCATACACACACATCCACAGGCCTGGGCTTTCCTACCACAGAAATTCTGATGTCTAATGTGGAGCCACTAGACCACTTTAAACACATTCCCCATCTTACAGACTGCACTGCCTTTCTGTAACATTCATACTGTGCACACATACAGTACATTCCATGGCTTGTGCGTGTATATTAAGTGGTATTCAAGTGGTATAGGCATTGCATTAACAGCCACCACTACATTTGACCACACTCAGACACATGCACAACAAGGACATATTTGAGACATAGAAACAAATTGTGAGTGTGTGTGTGCAGTTAAAAAAAAACACACTTTACTTGAATATTATCTCTTTCTCATGCAGGCACATATGCCCACAAGCACACACACTTGCACACATACGTGCACAAACTCATACACATGACATTACGTATGTTTAAACAACCATTTCCTGGTGCAGTGTGCTAGGCTGCTCGGGGGCTAACTGGAGCCTCTGGGAGATTTGTCAGTTTGAGCCATGCAGGTCGGGAACCCCTCAAAGTTTGCTTTGGGTTCCTGAGGGACACTCTCCGAACCCCTGAATTCCTAATCGTGGTATGCACTCTGCTTCGCCCACTGGACCCTGAAACTTAGGACACACACAAATACACTGATGAGAACATAAGCACGCATATATGCAGGGAGACGGTGTACATTTTCAAAAAGCCCATTATACACACACGCTCATACATACAGCCTGGTCTTTGTTTCAGGCATTTCCCAATTCATTTTAACCCTTGAACCACTAATGACTTGATGACAGGTTTATTTGAAAACTAAGAGCAGCTAGATATATCAAACTGTTATTAAAAATACAGATTTAATCATTCCATTACAATTTAATTCATGTTTGGAAAGAAATTTAGACAAACAGGTTTAAGCCAGGTCAATCAGTGAGATAGCTGTAACACATGTAATACCTGTAGATAATCCTTTAAATGAATAGAAATGTTGAAATGTTTTATCCACACAATTTTTTCAACATATTTTTTTCAGAATGACTCAACTTATTCGGATCAAGTTGTTTACATGAGAGTTTACAAAATAAATCTATTGTGTCTGTGTAACAACTGGAAAATTAAGGCGTGTACACCCATCTTATGTGTACATATCTTGCTCTGATACAGCTTTTTAAGGTAATTGTTTGTGGTGTTAGATTGTAAGCACTTATTGTTATTTTGTCAATCAGTGTTATTTCACCAAGGAAAGGCAATATATTTCCAGTGGATTATTTCCATTCATTTAAAAATAAAAGCATTTTTATTTTGCCTTGTGTCTCCTTTGCATCTTGGCATCTTCTGTTCTCAATTAAAGCTCTATAACTTAATAGCTGTATATATCTTAGTGTATTCACCTCACTCATTCATTCTGTTAATGCTGTTTATACTGTAAATATCTGCTAGTATATTCATATATATATATATCTATAATGTTATTTTTTTTTATATATCCCTGTACATGCACATTACTCTGCACTTTACTGCTTTGCACTTCTGGTTAGATGCTTAACTGCATTTCGTTGTCTAGTACTTGTACTTGTGCAATAACAATAAAGTTGAATCTAATCTAATCTAATCTAATCTATTCTAATCTAATCTAATCTAATCTATAAATTATTTTTGAAAGGTGTATAGGATGGGAGAAACACTGTGATAAACCATTTGATATCCAATGTAGTAAAATAAGCACATAATATATCTTCAATTTGTGTGTCAGCAAGTGGCTTCTCTGAGGAGTTTCTCCTTTACTGTTCCTACAGACATTTAACTCCATTTCCCAGCATGCACTGCCAAGAGAACGGGCGTGTGTTACGTGGCCTCTCAGCCAATAGTCTTCTTCCATACCCGGAGCTTCGGTCGTGAAGAGGAAGTTCAGTTTGATCTCTCT